ATTGTCCTCCAAAGTAATACTTTAGTATAAACAATTTCTTTGGACTGCATATGCACTAATGTTGACTGAACAAAATCTTAATTCCATTGGTACCAGTGGTACTTTTCCCTAGAACTGAGAAGCAAAGTAAAAATGTGTGGACGACATTATACAAATGGCAAGCAACCTTGACCATATTATATAAAAATAATAATGCATTATCATATGAATTTGAAAATTATTGGCAAGATAATTAAAAAGAACTATAATCAAAATAAACAGTAGCAAAGTCAAGAAAAAAAGTTTTACTGCATAAAATCTTCCTCTAAATACCTTATTGAATTAGCATGAATCATCCAAAATAAGCCATGTCAAATTATCTTTCCAGAAATCAATGAAAGTGAACTGAGATAGGACTGCCAGCAGCATGCAAACTGAAACTTGCAGATTTTGAAATATTCTGAAGGAAAATGCTTTTACTAAAGGTATCATACAGTTACAACCATTATTAAGAAAAAGAATTCTACATTGTATTTCTAAATTCTTACTTAAAGGAAACCTCCTTCACTTTCAAATCTTCAAGAGTGCCTCCTATACTGCCATGCTGGTGATGAAAAGGAATTGATGGAGAATGTACAGAAAGATTACCCTCTATGGAGAAACCACCTCTGAGCAATGCATTCATGGGCATGTTATTCTTTTGAAACCTACTACTGCAAGCAGCTCCTGTGAATTACTGGGACTGTGGCATCATATCTGCAATGTCCTTCTATAAATGCCAAATTTAGAGGTCCATGAACAGATTATGGCATTGCATGATGTTATAGTTTTTGATATTAGCATGAACTGATTTGTGGTAAACATTTGGTAATCAAGAGACAAATACAGGCAACCAGCTTTGATGATTATTTCAATAGATGGACAAATATGTTAAATCTCTTAGGAATAACAGCAGATTGATACAAAATAGAAGAGACATAAAATAAAAATTACATATGTATTTAACTTTATATTTTTACAATTAAGATTTTGATATGAGATTATGATGTCAAATTATTTGAAATCATAATAAAGACAAATAATCACTATACTTCCTATTGTTTACAGAGGGAACAGGTACAAGCCAAGACAATAATACTTGATGTTTTGAGCTTTGAGCATTTCTTAATTATCCAGGCTTGCTGAAGACTATGGATTATAACTTTATAAATTGCTTTTAAATTCATTACCAAGTATAAATTGTTCTACATTTAAATTGTAATTTCAAAGGTGTGAAGTTAAAAGCTGAAGGGGCACCAGTTATAAAAGAAAGGAACAGTACAAGAAATATACATATATATATATCTACATAGATATGTCTTCAATGCCAAAAAAAGAAGAATGAAAAAAATAAGATATTGGAAAAGAATGAATACAAGCATCTAATCAATTCTTGAGTCACTCTGAGGAACTGTTAAGGAAATCATCTGTATACTTACAAAAGAAATTAACAGCTTTTTCTCAGAATTATGAACTAAAGTATTCTATCACTACAACAATCTCATATTCAAGCAGAATATTTGATTATAACTGTGTAAAAGAAGAGCATTAACAAAGAATTAACAACTGCAATCTCAACAATACTTCTATACAAGATCTACAAGTACATTTTTGTGAAATATTTACAGAATATTTACTTTATTCTCTTATAGACAGAAAACTGTGAATAACACTGTATCTGGGAAAGTTCTAAAAATATTCTTAAATATTACTGGACAGTTTTCATTCTCTTTTTCTAGCATTTAGAAAACTCCTGAACAATATACCAGGTTCCTACACAGACAGTCACTGCCTCCGAGCTAGCAAGTAGCACATCGAAGTGCCCTGCTCCCATACTTATGGCTCTGATATTCATCAAAGAATAAGTCCAAAACTCCCATTCATTTATTTAAGGGTAGACGAAAACTGTCACTTTTTTTTTACTTAGCAAATTCTATTATACAGCTAACATTAAACAAAAACTGCAGAGCCAACATGTGATATAAGCCTTATGTAAATATGCACACTGCCCAACAGGTCCTCACTTGAGATATAGCAAACAAGTATTACATTCAACCGGGTAATAAGACTGTTCCAAACATTTAATTTTAACCAATAACTGAATGCACAAAAGAAAATGAAGCATATAACATTTGAGTATATAGAAAATTAAATCTGCTGTTACCATTAGCACCATATCTATCAAGACAGATGTGATGTAAGTTACATTAAGGCAAATCTTCACAGGATCAGTATGTGTCTGGCCACAAGCACTTCAAAACTTATCACAACATTTGATGTTCAACTTGAACAATTAAGCTTTAGCTGTAGATCAGTCAGCAGGGTATAAACAAGGAGATTCCACCCACAACTGTATATGTTATTAACAAGCACTTGCACACCACTGCAGAGCAAAGGTATCTTGGAGAGGGAACACTGTTGTACCACATCAGGTGTCATCTAAGTAAAGGTGGTATCATATTTAGGAGAGGAGAACTGCAAGATCTGTCTTGTTAATGTTTTTTCAGCAATTACACATAATGCCTAAAAACTAAGAAAGATTTCTATGAACAAAAATATGGTTTTAAAGTTATAAAATTCAACATGCCTCTAGTGTACATTTCCTAACTTCAACTACAAATCTGAAATAATATTTGTGATAATGAATCACTAAAGATTTAACTACAATTTATCATAATCCTTAGAAAAAATAAATAAAACAACTTTTCAACAGACCTGTATACATAATATGAAGGAACAGCATTGCTGACTAGTCAAAATTACAGCTTTTGCAGTCTTTCTAGTGCAACTCTATATTTTTTTTTGCATGACAGTTACAAGTGTAAGCCATTTATAATTCAATACTATTCGTCCATAAAGGCATTGTGTAAATACCACTTACAATACAGGAACATGTTTTGTTCAACGGCTTTGGTATATCTCACTGGCATCAGTGAGGTTCTTAGGCTTGAACTAACACTTTTTGTACATAGATAACACTAAATCCTGTGAAAGATCAAGCACAATCAAATCTGAAATCAAATCACTAAAATGCCTAATTAACAAATACACTTCCTATTTAGCTGAAAAAGTGATGATTTAGATATACATATATTTACATAGTATTTCCATTCACCATCATATGTACATGTATTTTTGCATGAAGTGGAATGGATATTAAATTCATTATAAAGAAAAAAAATCATGATACAAACACTGGAGGAGACACTAATGATAATAAACAAGTCAATAAGTATATGCTGTTAAAGTCTCTACAAATGACATTATATTGATACATGAAAAGAAATTTCAAATATAAAAGTTCAGGTTTTCCAAAGATATTTTTAAAAATAGTATAATAATAATGATAACTATAAAAATATTAATAATAATAGTGATAATAAAGTGATGATGATGATGATGATGACGATGACAATGATAAAGATAATAATAATGATGATAATAATAATATAATAATAATAATAATAATAATAATATAATAATAATGATAATGGTGATAATAATGATAATAAAAACAACAATAAAAAAAATAATAACAATAAGAAAACAATGGTATCATCATGATGATACTGCAGTGATTAAGATGCCTAAGATAATGACAATAATGATCATAATGATGACAATAATAATAATAAAAATAATACTAACAACAATGACATTTATAAAGATAACAACAATAATAATAAATAACGAATAATAAGCAATAACGATGATAACAAAACCAATAATAAAAAAACCCTTATCATCACTGCCATCATTATCATAATTACTACTTTTAATCATTATTACTATCACTGTCTTCATCATCATCATCATCATCACATCCATCATCATCATAATTATCATCATCATCACCATCATCATGACGATCCTCACTATTTCACCTTCACTATCATTATGACTATAATAATAATAGTAGTAATTTTAACATCAATATCAATATCAATATTAACATTGGCATTAACATTAATAATGACAATAATGGTGATGATGATAATAAAAACATTAATAGTAACAAAAACAAAAACACTAATAATATATATAATAATAATAATAATAATAATAATAATAATAATAATAAAAATAATAACAATTATAATAATGACAATAATAATAATAATAATAATAATAATAATAATAATAATAATAATAATAATAACACAATAATAATAATAATAATAATAATAAAAATAATAATGATGATGATGATAGTAATCACAACAATTATTACAATAAATCAATGATTATAACAATGATAATGATAATGATGACAGAAAAAAAACAATGATAGTAACAACAACAATGATGATGACGATGCTACTAATGATACTAATATTAGCAATAATAATAATCATAATAGTAATAATAACAATAATATTAATAATGTTGATGATGATAATAATAATAAATAATAATACTCATGATGACAATATTTAGAAATAAGAATCATAATAAGAACATATGCAATGAAAATGAATAAGGAGAATACGCTTAGGATGTACGAACTCGCACGCAAAGTCATTATTTTGTTATCGGATCACTCAGTCAAGAGTTTCCTGTAGTTTAAATACAGATGGTGCAAATTAATATAACAGAAACAGCATGGGCAAATTTCTCATAGTGCTCAATTTTTTTTTCTTCATTAAATTTGTCTTTTCTAATATTCAGAGTTACTAATATATACTAGAAAAAAATGTAGTTACTCATTCAGAGGAAAGAGGAACTGTGATAAAAGGATAATTTTCTCTAAACACATTCCATAACTGGTGAAATGACTAAGTTCCATGAGAAACATAACTACAGCTCCTCCTAAGGGTGTGCAAATGTGTCCATTCATACAACTTATGATACAAAAGGGATCAGCAAACTCCTGACAGTACACGCTATAAATTCAGCCTTCGATATGTCAGCGCCTTCATTTAAGACTAATATATTAATGGGTTCCACTTGATATTCTCCTAATAAAATTACAATTTAACAAAGCTAGGTCCTAGATATTCTCTGAAACAAGATAAAGTGAAGGACTATGACATCCTAGGTTGAAACTGATGCAAATATAAAGTGGCAATCTTGAACTTCCAGACAGTTTCCATTCAGAATATCACCAGAGTTGCAAAAAAAAAAAATATTTGTAGATCAAGAGAAAAGTTTAACAAAAAGGAAAACCCTTGTGAATCAACTAGAGACATTCAGCTTCTGAAGCTCAAAGAATTGTACTACACTCCTCCACTGAAAATAACATACTTCATCTGAACGAGATCATTACTCTCTTGATGAAGATATAAGGGCTAGAACATAGTGTATAAGAAGGTCCTAAACATGGACATTACCTCATGCATCATTACTTCCTCTTGTGCACCCCTTTTAGGAATCATTTCGTGTTACCAGTATCTTTCACACAAACAACCTTTTTGGTACATTTTAATCATGCTGACCCTTTTTGTAATTCCAATTATTAGAGACATTGCAAAAAAAAAGTTATTCCAAGAAATCATCATCAGAAATTAAGAAATAATCATTATATATATATGAATACAAAAAACAATTCTTCCTTTGCAAAATAAATTAATGGGCATAATTTTAAAGAATGCACTTCTTTTCTCTACTGGTATCCTAAGCTTTATTTTTACTGGGTTCCATTATTCTGTAACTGTTTTTTATTTAAGAGTGACCTGAAGGAAATGAATCGGTGAGAAAAGTACAAGAATATGAGGCAGAGTGTTGTAAAAGACACATAATCACATAAAAGTCAGAGATACTGTCCCACTTTAGCTATTTCTACTATGTGTAGTATGTCACCAAATGCTGTACATTACACTCTTTGCATTTATCATAATCTTTCATTCAATAAAACTTAATGTCTATATATATATCTTATAATACTAACTAGGGATCGAGCCATATCGTAGTCTTAACACAGCATCTGCATCACAGATGTATTTGCCTGAAAAAAAAGAAAAAAATTAACAATGAAATATTGATTATGATACTTAAAAATTATTGGAAATCATGTAAGTCTTTCCAAACACTGGCTATTGTGTGTACTTCATAAATATTAAAGGAGATCCATGAAACAAGAAAAAACAACAGACATCTAAGGGTTGAAAATATTTCTTTTTCTGTCTTGGGGTGTGCTATTATTTTACTGCTATGGCTAAAACTTTCAGCTGGTTCTCTCAAAATAAATGGAGCATTGACATGTGCACAAAAAGGAAGAAGGAAAAAAAGCCAGCCTTCACTATCACTCTTCCACAAACTCTACCTTCTTTTGTTATTCATGAACTGATCAAGTGTATTATCAAATTATATGGGGTTTTCAATACTATTATAAATGGCTATCACTCTGGAATTCAGACTGATATGTAATAACTTTAATGTCAAGGATTATATTTTGAAAGAAGCTACTGAAGGATATGTGTTGCATCCTTTTAACGAATGTCTTTTGTTACCAAGGACATTGTAACTACTAGGCAGAGACTTGTAAAGAGAGATTGGAAATTAAAAATAAAAGAAGCCAAGGAAGTACTGCCTAGATTAGACTCATTTAGCCTTTAGGAAGTTTTTTTTTTTTTTTCCATTAATAAATCAAATGTCATCTGTTAGCTATGCCTGGAAGAGCCAGTGCCACAGCTCTGTCAACTAGTCTGCTACCCATGTTTCAAAATAAATAGCAACTTTGACTATAAATAAGGTTTTCCGATCATATATTTCTATTCATGTAAAGAATGAAATATGAAAAAAAAAGAAAACTGAGAAGAAAACACTATTGCTTGAATTAAATCCAATATTATCAATAATTATCAATCATGAAACTGTCCATACAGAAGTGTGATTGATTCCCAGGATGCAACAGGGCCTCCAATATACAGACTATAGCACTTGATCAAGGAGCACAACAGAAAACAAGAACATCAAAACACAACACTGTCTCTCTATTATGGGGAGATGGCTTTGTATAATTTGTTATCACTGGCAGATCAGCTCATGAAAACAGAGCAGTGAGGGTTTGGAAGAGCAGCGATAGAGAGTTGTCTGGTGATTCTTTTTTATTTTGTTGGTTGAGTGCTAACTTTAGTCTGAGAATACCAAGTCAGTTTAGAGCCTAGCTGAAAAATAGACTTGGAGGACAGACAATTTTGTGTATGGACGTGCAAATGCCACACCCCTACAACACACACACACACACCATCCCCATTTATAATAACAATATATTTTTAAATGTTAGATACACACTTACCTGAGACAAATCTCTTCTTTATAAGTGAAACTCGATACCCTGAGCCAAACAGACTAAATTCTAGCCCAGATACAGTTGTCCCTTCACAGTTGAAATAAGCCGATACAGTGGCTGGTGTGGATGGCCCAGCTGCGACTTCAACTTTGCTCTCAGTGACCCCACACCAACCACGTCGAGTGCTGTGACAACTCTGTCATCTTCCACATAGCTTTCTGCTCGTCTTTCAGCCTTAAAATGACAACAACAAAAAAATGATCATATAAAGAACAATTTACATTTTGTAATGCATATAATCACAAACATTATCTTAAACAAGAAAAAAATCCTTCTTATCTAACTCTACAGGTACACAGAGTACATACAAACCAGTATATCAAGTTCTGGTTTCCCATATGATAAATAAATGAACAGACCCTAGTTTTGAGAAGCACTATAAAATCATTCAAAGAGACTACAATCAAATCATATTCATGCCCCAAAACACTGTAGCATAAATCAACTTTAAAACTGTCTGTGGCCATTTAAGGTCCACACAATGCTGAACTGTACAATTAAGTTCAATCTAATAGAAATGTATCAAATTTATATTTCATTCAATTTCATAATGCAAGAAAGAAAGAGGCACATACATCCTCGTAAGTGGACACCCAAGTCCTCACATGCTACAGGATGGGAAAGGTACAAATACATCTTCTAACATTTCTCTATCATACAAATGAAGTTCTGTGTTAATTAGCTCATGGAGGATACTATGCATAAATTTGCCAAGATAATCGGAAAATGAAAAGAGATAATTCAACTCACCACTGTCCTGAAGGCTTTGACTGCATATTTCCAACAACACCATCCACCGGCACCTTAATGTTCAGATTGAGCAATGGAGATGGTGAAGCAATGGCATGAGGATTATACTTATAGTCTATGCGTAAATCTGTGTGGGAGTCTTCACATTTCCAATACGAAACCAGCTGCAGCGGCGATGACTGAGCTCCACTTCCAATATTAACCTGAAAAACGTTCTATAATCAAATATTCATAACCTTGAAAATTAAGTATAAAATAATTTTCAATTCATTCTTCCAATGACCACAACCTATATTCTGAAACTCATCTCTTTGAAAAATGCATAAAATTCTGCTCAACACAAATGCCCAAGGCAAATGAAAATTACAAATATTCACAATATTGTTTTTTACAGTACATTAAAATAAAAGTCATCAAACCTAAAGAACAAGTGTAACAGAAAATAAGTCCTAGAAACCATAGGAAATAACCTGTTCTCTTAAATAACTTGGAAGAGGGAATGTTCACTGTAGTTTTTGTGCTTTGTTAATTGTCCTTACACACGCTCAGCCATCAGAGTCAACTGGTATGCCTTCATACCTTCATCTAATTTTCCCTTTTCTTACGTTTTGGGGATTCTTGTTTCAAATGTTATCAATATCAATATCATGATAATTATTATTGACATTATTTAAATGTTACCAAGAACACTAATGGCAATAATAATAATAATAATAATAATAATAATAATAATAAATAATAATAATAAAAAAAAAAAGGAAAAGGAAAAAGGAAAAAGGAAAAAGGAAAAGAAAAAAGAAAGAAAAAGAAAGAAAAGAATAGGGTAAATAAGTGAGATAGGTAGGACTAGTAATTGACTCTTCAGCAACAAAGCCCTATGGAGTTACCTATGTGTAACGACACATAATAAAACTCGCAATGGGCATGGCATGTGTTCATACATACATACATGCATACATACATACATACATACATACATACATACATATATAATAATATATATATATATATATATATATATATATATATATATATATATATATATATATATATATGCCTACACTGGCAGCATTGGGTTAAGAGTAAAAAATATTGAAAACGATAGCAAACCTGGTACTTTATCATGTCCACATTAAAATAGGATGCTGAAGGGTTACTTTCTGCTTGCTTTCGAAGTAGAGCAGTGAGAGCTGGCATGTTGAAGTCAAATGCACCACATTCCTCAGTTGACTGTTCTGTATCCCTAAAGAGCCAAAAACAAAAATATTGTAAATGTAGAAGCCTTGTATAACAGCATCTAAAACCTTCATCTGATGCATACTTTTCTATGAAGTGTTACCTACTTGAAGCACTGAATTAACAGTATAGAAACATTTACCCATCTCTGTGTAACAACACTCAACTACATCATGATAATCATAAAGACAATAATTGTTGTTAGGAGCAATAATAATGATGAACATGAAAGAAAGATAAATACTTACATGGTAATAAGTTGTCTGTTGGGTAAGACATTTGTAACTCTGGCAAAATTATTAACCCTAAATGATAGCTGAGCAGGGGAGGGGTTATTGGCCAAGACACCAACAATACCCGCTGGAAAGGATACCATCATTTCTCCTGTAACTTTCACCTGACACCTGTTGAAACAAATAAGGCCATAAAAAAAATCATGTATTGTCAACCAATAAGGATATTTACAGTATCTTCCAGAAGACTATACCACTAAAATTCTATTTCTCTGCTCACTTGGACTCATCACTGCCTCTAAAATAGGCATGGCACAGCTCTTGGAATGCAACTGCAATAGGTATGGTGTCAGACAACCCAATTGTGAGGGGAGATGGCCCACGGGATGTTCCCACCATGCTGGAGGTGCGGAATTCTAAACTCGACACTGATTCTGCTCGGGAGAGTCCGGATACTGTTGCAGGACTTTGGCGTCCCCTTGGAGATGGCCCCTGAAAAATTTGTTCAGCACATTAGATATCTGATGGAAAAGAACAAAACTTTGAAATTACACTCTGTAAGAATACTTATTATATGTTCACCCTGTGAACATATCTAACCATCAAACCAACACTAACATCTATTCTTGCCAAACCAGCTAAGGTCAAATGCTAGATGGCAAGGATATGTACCACATAATCAGCCTACTCCAAGTTGCGCACCCTAAATAGCTTTACTTTGTTTGGTTCTACACGTGGCTCCTTGGGAGTTAATGCCTAGAAAAATATGAATTTAGCAGCAGCAAAACACTCAAAGAGCTCCTGATTTTTCACTTGAGTGGCTAACTGTGCATGAATCCCAGAGGGTGGCTCAGTTTGGCCTAGGAAAAACCATCAGCTTTGGGTTAACACTGCAATTTACAAAAGTTACAGTGTTTATCGTCAAATGTAATGGAAAGAGTCCACTACCTCCAGTGCTTTTCTTGATGGTGGTCGGGGTATTGCCATTGTTGGAGTGGGCGTGGATCCACGACTTGACGAGCCTCCACCCGTTCTTGGAGGAAGGGCAGGTGGAGTATCCCCTTCAGTTTCATTAAGAATTTCACTCAGCTCTATAAGAGAGAAACAAATATAAACCATATCAATAACATAGTAATACATAAATACAAATGCAGTAAAAAAACATGCACATTACGTGCACTCAGATGCATACACATATATATACTCTATCCATCTCTCTCAATCACTCACAGGTGAATATATTTCAGCAAAACTACAAATCACTAACCTTTTGATGTTCCTTCCAGAGCATAGCAAAGACATAAATTTAGTACACATTCATTGCCATATGCTCAGCATATTTCAGATAACATCTTTGTCTCAACATTGGGTAGTGCCCATAAGTATGATTTAAAAAAATTCTTAGATACGTAATGCATGAATAATTCCATATGAATTGTTTCAATTTATTAACATTTCTTTAATTTACAATCACTCTTTCATTGCTTCATTTTTATGTGCCGTATGAGTTATCTATCAAATTGTTTTCATTTACCAAATGACCATAAATTCTTATATATTTCAAATTCCTCTGTTCATTCCTGAAAAAACGTCAATGATCATGAAAAAAATTCTTGAAATCTTCATGCGACATGAGCCCCTACAGTCCCATTCACCATGACTGGTTTCCTGCAAAATGTGTGAGCTTTGCTATTTGCCAAGATCATGGAAGGCAGGTTTTTCTCCCACAAGTTTTTCAATAGCAGTATCCACTAATACGTCTGGTACTCTCTGACAAGTTTCTTCAAACTATATCCATATCATCATCCCATAACTCAATTCTCTTTGTACCCTCCTCTCCCTGAGTCAATTACAGTCATGTTTTCCTGCCTCTTTCTTCCTGTGAATAAAAAGTAGTGTATCTGACCTAGTATTTTTTGTAAAACAGCATGTTTCATCTAACCAATCCCCCATCTTTTCTTCTCCAACATTTCTCTACCACATCATATTACTAGGTATTACAGAAATACCTCCTGTAATAGGTATATAAATTTTCCCAATATATCCACTTTATTAAAAAGAGATGAAAATACATATTCAGTAATTTTCTATTATCAAAATTTCATTTTCTTGTTTTGAATATTCTATTCATATCTTTAATTAACCATTTGGATCTGCATGCCCCACAACTTGTGCATGGATTACTAGAGTAGTGACCCTCCCAAGTGGTGGCTTGTAGGCCTGAACCAGATGAACATTCATGTGCAGTATCAAGATTTCTTTATTCCTCTTTTCACTGCTACTGCTGTTTTTGGAATTTAGCAATTGCTGGAGGCCACCCATTTTAGGCATTCCTATAGTTCTGTCTCTATCAAAATGTATTTAAAAAATAAAAAATATGCAAGAATAATCTTTTATAATAATTTCATTAATATTTTAAAGTTAAGCAGACTAACCACTTACAGTCTATGTCCTCATTATGGTGCTTAAATTCATTCTGCAGAATGCTATTATTAGTGGGTGATTCTTCCTTTGTACAGGTATCAAAAATTAGTTTTTACTCATCTCTCCCCCTATGCATAATGGTCTATCTAATGCCACACGAGACTTACCAGCATATCTATCAGCACGTGGGGGTGGAGCCAGCACAGGAGATGTTATAGAGCTAACAGATGGCGCTGGTGATGAAAGACCTGAAATATATTGGTCAAATAGAATACTTTCCTCATCTTCATTCCACGTCTTATCTACTGGGATCTTTTATATTAAATAGTGTTAAATAACCTTCTTTCAGTTGTTCTTGGCCTTCCATTCTCTTGCATTAAAAGGAATTAACTTTTTATATACCTGAAATAGGCATAGAGTTGCAGCACAGATGGGTGAGGTAATAATTTGCAAGTAGCAATGACATTGTTAAATAAATGGTTGTCTTGTAGTAACAGTTAGTTAAGCAAGAGAGTATTCAGGTAGCATTTAGCAAATCAAGAAAAAAAGTATATAAAAAATATATCAAATATTTCTTTTTAGCCCTTTGTCATGTTCACAGTGATTTCAGTTTATTAACTGTTTACACATAGATGGTTCTACAAGTACACCTTTTCCAAGGAGTCAAGTATTAGTCCTGTGTACCTCACCTGTTTACCCTTTTCCTTGATTTTTAGAAATAACATTTTCTATTTCTTATTGCCATTAATACCTTAATATCATAATCATCATAATGTTAACAACAACAACAACAACAACAATAATAACAATAATGAATGATATACAATGATATCAAAAAGTGATAAAATACAATCAAGAGTGACAGAGAAGAATATTTTTCACAAAGACTCAAGAAATGGGGAAATCAAATGAGGTAACACCAGGCCTATTAACTGACTCCTTCATAACTGAGCACTTGTGGAGCCATTTGTGTGCAACAAAATTCACTTAACAAGTACCCAATGCCCATGAATAAAGGGTTAAACATCAATAGAAATAAAGATGGCATAATCAATTCAAATATAATCCCATCTACAGATCTTACATTTAGATATATATGTATAAAATCATGATAGGTCTGAAGCCTGAAAATCTAAGAAAAGGTTTGAAAAGTGCATTTGATAACTGCACAATCAGGATTTCATGCTTACCATGAATAAAAAAGAAAAAGCAAAGGGTGAAAATAGGCTAATACCTATCAATTTTTTTTTCTTAATTTCATTTGCCACTACTGATACATGAATCATCCATTCTTACTTGTATTTTTCATAGGCACTATTTTCCTATGATACATAACATGCTCGGTCAAAAATATGATATGCACTGCAGTTATCAGACTAAGAGACAACTTTTTAAAAAAATGCTTTATTAGAGAAAAAAAAAAAACATTAGGATTTGGTAATGAAATGATTACCTGTCTCCACAGTGCCAGCTACAAGCAAATATGTAAGTCAGCTAACCTGTTAATGCATTACCAACCTGTTAATGCATTAGATGCTGGGGACATGGGTCTGTTGACAGCAGTGTCCCTACAGTGCTAGTTGCTAGAACCCCTCTTGGACTGCTATCACTGGTCCCAGAGCTCCCACCAAAGGTAAGATTTAATCCTAACAGGTCTGCAGAACTTGTCTTGTTACTGCTTAAACAAAAGAAAACAATGTGTTAGCAACATGCATCTGATTCTCTTAGTTAGCAGTGCTTGCTAGAACATATTTTCATAAACTGCTAGTCCTTGTAGTATCAGCTTTCTGGTCTTTCCAGTTTTGATGCAAAGGCTATTGAGATCATGAAATATCAACTGAGCTGACTTTGTCTAACCACTGTGATAGCATAGAATACATAAAATACAGAAAAAAATTCACATTGGCTCAGGTTCTCCCTTCTTGTCAATTCATGTGGCTTGACATAACACCTAGGCTACTAGAATTTGCTCTTGGAATGTATATAAAGTGCTGTTTACTCTGTCTCTTGGAGGTTCAATGTGCTTTATGTTCTATGCAGATCCCATGGAATGAGTTTTTCTGACTTCTGTAATTCAGAGTTCTTCCCACTTTTGCTATTTTTTACAGTAAGTTTCAGCAAGTCCTTTTTTAGTCCTTTTGTCTGCATACAAGTGACCTTTGATTCACTCTTCCATCTTTTCTGTTTCCTGTGTTGTTTTTTGCTGCTTCTCTCCCTGCATCTTCCCCTTCATACACAATTTCCTCATTATCCAGTGCAGTTTGTTTTTTCTACAGTATTGTGTAGATGGGGGAGGGGCATCTTTCCTTTGCCTTTCATCCTTTTTTTTATTCTTATACATTTCAGTAAATATCTTCTGCTTGTAAATTAACCTTCTGTGTATTTCTCCCCCTCAATACCTTAATTTTTTTTGTCTTTAACCCTTTGTATCCAGATGCCTCCCTCTGGCACATGGATGAAAATCCAGGAATTAGACTTACTTGTCTGGGGACTCTCCCAGGTGTGCAGCTTGCAGGCCCAGCCCATGCTAACACTTGAGTGTGGGTATCAAGGTTCTTTGCCTCTCCTTTGCAATACTATTAGTTTATATGCTGGAGTTATGTTTTTGCTGCATTATTATTTTCCAAGATTTATATTTAACATTTGTTATGCTTATCAAGTTCTTCATCATTTTTTTTTTCCAGCATACCCTATATTATCTATCCACTCTGTGCATTAACACTAACATTAAGCAATAATATCTTATTTGTGTTACCTTTTTATTTTTTTGTATAACATGTTCCTACATATGGATATAGTACCCTCACTGTATCCAGCATTCTCCCAGATGTGGCTAGTATACTCCATCCTCATTTACTGATGGAAATGTCACAGAAGCCCCTTCCTGAAGGTCTGCAGAGTCAATCTTCTCCTGAAAACTTTGTGCATTCATAACGAGACTTCCTTGTCACCTACCATTTGAAAACAATTTTCAATAGTGTGACATTCCTGTCATCTCCAGACTTTTCCAAAACATGGTAACATTCCATACACAACTTCCCTTGTAGG